ATATAAATTATATTATATTATATTATATTATATTGTATTATATTGTATTATATTGTATTATATTATATTATATTGTATTATATTAAATTATATTGTATTATATTATATTATATTTATATTATATTATATTATATTACATTACATTATATTATATTATATTATATTATATTATATTATATTATGTAGAATGTAACAAACAGTTTTTTATCAATTAAAAAATTATATCGAATTATATCATAATATAAATAAATTATAATATTCAACACATTTTTTTTCAACATATGTTATTTAAATATATATTTATGCTCGATCAATAACAATAAGTTAACACTACTGTTATGGCTCAATTAAATGATTGACTAATGTTTCTTATTAATAATTTATTAACAAAACAATTTTGCAAAGGAAAATGTTGCTTGAAATTACTTTAGATATTTCCAATTTATGTTTTTGAAGCAGTTTGTATATATAATTTATATACATATATATATATAATATTTATATATAATATTTCACAGTAGTGATTTTCATAAAATTTTATTATAAATATTCTACTTAAAATACAAACCTTCCAATGTTTGTTAATATCTATTCTTGTATCATGTCTCATTCTAATGATTAAATATTTTGCCATGAATGGTATATCTCTAGATATTGCACCAATCTCAGCAACGTTTAATTGCGATGCAAATAATTCAGAAGTTTGACCATCTTTAAGTGCATAGCCTATTAATTTGGGATTGAATTCCTATATAAGAAAAATTTTTTATAATTTTTCTACTTAATAAATATATTATACAATGTGTTGCACCTAAAACAAGAAACTGAAATAATTTCGAAATAATTTTGAATCGCTTCGTGTATCTGTTATATACATATATATATATATTATATACATATATATACTATATAATTATATAAGGACTATTATTAGATTCGTGATATTTTTGATTTTGAAAAATCAAAATTCTAAAAATACAAGAGTTGATATATAAAAATATCAGTTAAAATTTATTTATTGAATTATATAGTAATTGAAGTTTGTATTAGATGAAGAGCAACAGAAAGTGATGTGACCTATTTCTATCTCATTTTAATTTTATTTGAAGAAATAAAAATATAGCGAATAAAAATATTATCTATATACAATAACAATATGGAAAAGAAAAATGCTTATATGGATTTTTAATACAAAATGTGATATTACTGGTGATACGATTAAAATGTAAATTGATTATTATTTTTTTTTAATTCAGTAATTATATAAACAATATTAATGCAAAAGAAATAGAGACAAATTTTTTTTAATTGGTCAATGAAATTAAAATTGATTTAAATATCATTAATTTTCATTAATGAAAATTTTTTTTTTTCATTAATTCTCATTATTTTTTTGTCTTTTTTGTATTCATTAAAAATATATAAGTTTATGTTTTTTCGTTGAGGAATTCGTTATGTAAGCAATATTGTAATATATTGTAGTACATCTGACCTAGTACATCAAACGGACGGTTTTTACTTATCATCATTTTATCTAATGCAAACTTAAAATTATTGCGTTAGATTAGAATATATGTATATGAAATTTTTTCATCATTTGATGTCTGGAATTTATGAAAGATGTTTTATATTTTTATAAATATTCTTATAAATATTCTTATTAATTTTTTTATAAATTTTATAAAATTCAAATTAATATTATAATTATAAATATTTCAAAATAATAATTTCTTGATATGAATAATTTAATATTTATAAAATATGATAAGCTGAATCAATTGGTTCACTAAAAAATATTGTGATTTTTATTAACCAAAAAAAAAGCTATCATCTATGAAAAAAATTAAAATAAATTGTTTATCAAACCAAAAATTTAATTTTTATCTAAAATTTCCTTTGATATGAAAAAAATATATTCACTATTATTTTTAATATTTCCGATACTCTATATATTATCAATCATTATCAATCTATAAACAATAAGCATACTTTGAAGATATTCGGAAGTGTTAAATATGTTCGCCAAGTTCCTTCACCACCAATACTAAATGATGCGCCTCTATTTTCAATAGATAATTCTATTAAATTAGTTGCAAAAATTCCAACGCCAGCTGTCAAAGAATCACCCATCGCAGCAATAACATCTATGTCTCCTGGTCTCAAATGATGAACTGAATTAGGAACAATAGAAGATCTACTGTCTAAAAATTAGATTTAAAATATTAAATTATTATATAATATATATTATTATTATAACAATAATAAATAACATTTAAAAATATGATTTTATAAATATTATGATAACAATAATAAATTTATTTAACTACCTGTCAAATTACAAGGAAATGGAATGTCTGCTGAAATTTCTTCTTGAGTTTTTCCTTCAAACTGCGCTACAAATCTTTCATTCATACCTTTTTTGGAAAGAAAAATGTAATTATTGATAATTCATAATTTTGCTAATGGAATGGAAGATGAATCTTAACTATAATTTTTAAACAAATAATTAATAAAATAAATAAACGATATTACTTGGTAATATTTAATATTATCAATCTTTTTTAATAAATATCCCTATATCTAAAACTATAAGTTTTACATTTCCAATTCATTCTTTTGCAGATAATTTTTTTTTTCAAACCAAATTCACTCTTTCATAGATCAAGTTCATTTTTTTATAAATCAAGTTTATAAATTTGTTTTCTTAAATTATCTTAATAAAAAGAAAATCGAATATAAATTTATTTCTTCAAAATTTAAAATCATGTGTGAAATGTTTTTCTTTCACTTGTAATTTATATACATTAGCGAATATAAATATAATTTAATAAAACAATTAAAAATAATGTAAATTGTAGTTCTTTAAGATTTTTATATTTTTCGATAATTGTTATTCTATATCAACTGATTTCAATGAAATTTTTAACATGTATATATATAACTCTTATGCTATATAACTATTATAACTATATAACTATACATACATATGTATATGCGTGTGCAAATGTATAAATCATAACATATATATATATGTTATATATATAATATATATGTTATATATATTATAAAAATACATGTATTTTTTAAATTATATTGCAAAGTCAGATAAACAAATTGTAAAAAATGATTTTAGTTAATTAAAATTTTTAATAATATTTTTATATGTACTAAAAATTCAAATCATGTAATATAATTTTAAAAAAGTTATTAATAGATAAAATATAAAATTATATTGTTTTCATTTTTAGATAAAACAAAATAAATTTATATTTTTATCTCTTTGTCTCATCTATATATCTAATATTCATATAATAATTATATCATATATGTCATATATAAATAAATATATATAATAAATACTTATATAATATTTAGTATTTATATATAATAAATATAAAAATAAATATTTGTCATATATAAATAACAATTGTGATAGAATAATTAATAATATCTATCAAAAGTTTAAAATTTGATTTAAAGAATTACAAATTTGATTTGAAAAACCAGTTAAAATATTTTTTGTATAAAATTTAATTTTTAAAAAAATATTTATTCAAAGAGAATCAATCAATGGCCGAATGCCATTACAATTTGCAAAATGATCGCACGAATAATTTCAAATAATATCAGAACAAAATGACATTGCGTTATTTTTTTTTTTAAGATATCTACAAAATGAATTCAATTTTTAAAAGGATAAATTTAATTTGAAAAAAAAGAAATTCGAATTGTAAAATTATATTAATAATATAATATATATAATTTTACAATATACATATATAATATTTTCATCACATTATAAACTTCAAAAATTTTAGTAAAATTTTTCTAAACTATCATATTAAGGAAGAATCATTTTTTTTTTAATCATTTTCACAAATATTTGCTTTCTTTCACAATTCTTTTCCAAAGCAATGTAGATTTATATATCAATTTTTTTTTAACAAAAAGAAAAAAACTTTCAACTTTCAATAATAAAATTATTCGAACACATACCGATACTGCGTGTAATCCAATTACGAAATATATGAAGTATTTCTAAATTTATAGATGAGTCTAAATCTGTTTTTTGAGACGCACATATTATACACCACAATTGTAATAAAAAGCACAACCACATTAATTTATTCATCATGTGTTTTCATAAGCAATCAAACCAGTAATTAAAATTTTTGATAATGTTCAATAATTTTTGTTCAATTATATTTCTATAACGATATTAAATGCATCCAAAAATACGTACGTTGTTTCTAAGTTGGCACCTAGAAAAAATAATATAGAATCTAGTGAGATAAGCCAGCCTATATAAATAAATAATTGAATCAATGTTTTCTTATAATTGACTGAATTAATTATCACATTTATTAACTATTACCAATTACATATGTCAATGTGTATTACATTTGGTTTGACAAATAATTTACTGTTGAACGAATGCACTCTTGAACGAATGCCAACTTACCAGCAATGCACAATATTTTTTTCAGCAATGACTACCATGTATGCGCATATATTAACAAGTATTTTGATCATATTAAAATCATTTGTATTATTTGAAATTTTATCAATACAAAAATCTATATTTCAATTTCAATATAATACATGTAATTGGTAACTAAAAATAAGAAATCTTACATAAAATTGTATTACGTAAGATGGATATTGCGATAAAATCAACATACATGTGTAAAACTGAATAAATATTTACATTTTTAATTATGTATGAGATGAAATGATGAAGCATCTAAATACATACAGTATTATAATCAAATATTAAATAGTAATAATTATTAGTTGAATCAAACAATATGAATTTTCTTCGATATATTAGATAATGTATAAAAAATATATATATATATATATATATATATAAATGGA